AGGATTACCCTTGCAGCTATATTAATATGAGTAAAAATTAAATATTTTAAATTTGTTTAGATGCGCTAGCAAGGGGAAAACACAAAGACAAAACTGAGGCAAGGAGGCTCACAATGACTCCACTGATTTCTCCATTGGTCCTTCCTCTGCACATGGTCAATTAGAATTGAAAATCCTGTGCTGATTTCATTCGCTGGAATTTTTAAGCAGGTCAGGAAGAAAGATGTTATTGAAAGGAAAAATCTCATCTAAATAAGAAAGGAGCACAGGGCCATCTGGTCTGAGCTATACATATAAAAAGTTATTTCAGCTGAACTGCAGGCTTGATGTTTCAAAAGAAGTGCCAAAAATGAACCCCAAATCTGTTTACGGTAAAATATCCCCAACGTTCCTCTTTAAGCCTCAAATATGCGATACACAGTTCATTTCCTATCTGTGATTCATGAGCCCATCTGACCCCAGCACCTCCCTGGGCTTCACTGAGTCTCAGGCAGCGATAGGGGTGTTCAATCACTCTTCAGACACATCTCCCTCGTGGGGCATCAACGGGACCGTGGACCTTTTGAAAATTGTGAAAATGACTTTGATAGTTTTCCCTCAAATGGATTTTGAGTGCAGCCTGCATGTGGGCTTGGAAGGATAAAATCTGAGGCATGAAGCAACCAAACCAGTTTCCCTTCTTTCCTCCTTGAGACTGGCGGTAGGTTCCTGTGCATTCTCTGTGCAGTGCCCAGGCATCTACTCAGAATAATTCCAATCCCAATGCGTAAAGGCTAAGTTAAAAAAAAAAAAAATCCCAAATCTCTCTTTTCATTAAAGAGAAATTATGAGTGTGAGTCTATGCTCAGAAATCACCTTCCTAATGGTAACAGAGATTTAAATATATATATATGTCTATATATATAGTGTGCTGTTTGTCAAATGAGAGTCCTATGTTTTGATAGAATTAAAATATTTTTGATATGAGGCATTTGCAATAATTATATCATCAATACCTTAATTTAGCCAATATCTGACCACAGACATAAGTAGCTGACATTGCCATCCAAATTTCATTGTATTAAAGTGTTAATATTCTAACTCAAGGGCATTTTAAAAACTCTGGTCATAATACAACACTAACAATTATGTTTGGCCATAAGACTATGTTCAAATATATCATTTACATGTACTGTATGTACTACATACATGTCCAAAAACACAGCATTATAATATCAGCCCATGTTAAGCAAGAGTACAGGTTTTAACTAAAGTCTTCCAATAAATAATTGAATTAAGTATATTCTAATATATGAAACACCAGAATCTTGATATATCCCTGACATCAGATGTCATTGGTTGTTTTTGTATATTTACTATGTTTGTTCTGCCATTTCAAATAAATCATTACTATTGTGTGAGAAGAATAAACTGTCCTATAGTAAATTGTTCTTTCTCCATTATGCTCTGAAAAACCATTTGTTCTTGGCGTTACGTAGTTCAACTATTTCAATCAAGTCCATTATCTTCTTTTCTTTGAAAGATGCCTTTTTAGTAACCTGTATCCCCAGTGGGCCATGTTATGTTTTGTTTTTAGAAAGTAGGTGAAATTTAAATCTAACTATTTGCTCACTTTTTAATCTTTGATAAAACAATTTTATAATTCATCCTCAGGCAAGAACTCCACTATATTTTGGAAGAACTGTTTATGTAAAAATTATGGAGTCAGGTCCAAGGATTTCTCAGAAAAGTTATTTATTAGTTCACACTGCAGTCTTACCCCAGAGAATGTCACCTAACTTGTGTAGCTTGCTTTTTCTAACTACAAAATGTGTTTGTTCTTTAGGCTATATACTTTTGTCAATAATAGTAACACGAAAGCAAAACAGAACAAAACGCTTTTTCACTTGTTTTAAAAGAATCACACACTACATCAGCAAAATTAATCTCATTAATTTGTGTGTTGACAAATAAATACTGCTGCTCATGTACATATGACTTGAAAATCCTTTCAAAATTAATCCTTTAAGTATGCAAGAAAGAAATATTAAGAGCAAACTCCAAAATTAAGAAAATAATGTGTCAAATACTTAGTATGTAAGAACTGGTAAGTATACCCAGTCATTCTATATTAATGAAGATTAATTTAAACTACAGACCAAAACTTGGTAATTGAGATGTTACATATATACAGTTGTTCTATGTTTATATCTCAGATATGTCAATGTATTTTGTTAAGATTATTAAACTTTGTTCTATTTGAGTTAAGTAAAATAAAATCATGTACTTAAACATACACGTCATTAAAACTCTGAACACTTGCTTGGTGAATAACTGTTTAGCCTAAGACCCAGAAAATAGACTTGAAAATAAATACAAACGCTGTACCAGCCCACAAAATTTTAATCCAACTATCATCTAACCCAAAGCCCATGAAAAGAGCATTACTTCTAAAGAATCGTTTGTATAGGAATTCTCTACGCAATAAGTAAATAGTAAAAATGATTTAATAGGTAACAAAAATTTGAGTGTCAAATAAAAATCACCAAGTCATAACAGATATCAGTGTCATAGCATTTTCTATCCAAATGATTTCAAAATGCTCCCCATTTCCACATCCTATTCGCCCCATTGAAATTCAGCCACCTCTGAAATGTTCACCCAGCATGTTAATAAGGCTTCCCAGAACCAGGAAACTCCGCCTGACTACATATGTCTTGATAAATATGGCCATACCGCCCCATAACACATCTTCAAAAGAAAGATAGCTGCAAATAAAATAGTCCTTTCCTGTGGGTGTCGGTTAACCCCACAGACATGAGAACTTCCTACGGGCACACACCCAGCATACATTGGCGATTGATTAGGTGATTGAAAATGTTGCCCACAAAGGCGAAATTTTATATGTGATGACATCATCAGCAAACCTGGGTTTCTCTGCGATAGAATGATATACGTGCCTGGCTGAGTGTGCCTCTGGAGTGTGTGTGTGTGTGGAGAGAGAGAGAGAGAGAGACAGAGAGAGAGATGCTTAAAGAAGAGCACCATCCGAAATGCTATAACCTTCCGCAAGGTTTGCAAGAATCTTTCCACAGACCTTTGACTTTCTTCAGATTTCACACAGCTCAAGTTCATTCAAAACTGCATTTCCCACACCAGCAGATCGTGTTTTGTTTAGTGAGCACTGCTGTTAATCCTAAAACACCCCGGTGGGTCTGTGGAGATGCGATTTCTATAACCAAATGAGGCGTGGGCATCTGTGTAATAGTGTGCGTGTGTTACAGAGTCCCCGGGGACTTGCATTGGAACGGAGAAGACGTCTTGGTTTTCCAGGCAAGGAAAGGGTTAAAAATTGAGGCTGTCTGGGGTAGGAGAAAGGGGATATTGTTGTCTTTAATCTTTCCGCAGTCTGTGTAAGACTTCCATCCCGGATCTGCACAGAGCAGTGGGACAGGCCGGGCATGCATTGCGTGCAGGCTCCTTGATTGTAGAGGGGGGACCTGGCTGGGGTCCAGACAGGCTGGGGCTCTGTTGATCATTATGTCTGGCCTTCAGGTGTCTCGGCGCACAGTGGGCGGCGGTGGGGGAGGTGTGGATAACAGGAGAACAGACAAAGAAAAAAAAAATGGTGTATTTAAAAAAGATGATGTGAAAACGTGTGTCCAAGTCCTCTTTAAAAAATGACTCCTAACGTCTTAGACTTTTATAATGAGAACGCGAGCTCTGCTCTGGCAGATCTCTTTAAGCCATAATTAGTTATGTCTGGAGCCTTTGAATAATTCCTTTCCATAATTGATGGAGTTAATATTCTCTTTCAAAAATGAGGAGGACAGGGTATTCTCCCAAACTCCCTTTGGGTCGAAGGTTTTGCAGGTCCAGATCTTCATCAGTGAAAAATCGCATCGGTTTGATTTACCTTTTAATTTCTTAGGAGACTTAGCTTATAACTTTTTAAGGATTTGGATGATTCTAGAAGTGAAGGCATAATGCATTGCTGGATTCCCCTCGCTGAATGTAAAAAGAAAGCAATAGTACAGGATCATTCTCCCCCATTTGTTTCCAATTATTTTATAAATAATAATTTAAGAAAACTGCTTTGTATGTTGCTTCTGTTTGAAACTCCATCAAAAAACAAAAATCTTACCATGAACGTGACTTCGATGCTAACCCTACCCTTGCGTGCCAGTAGAAAGAAATCCCAAATTCCTTTATTCTTTAAGCATTTCTTCTATAAAAGCAGCTTCCGCATGCTTCCTCCCTACCCCCACGTCCTCACTCCACCCTATTAGAAATTTAAAAAAAAAAAAAAAAAAAAAAACATCTTTATACATGGAAGGCTGAATCCCGAGACAGAAAGCTGTCTTTTTCTTCTGTCTTTGCACTGGCCGCTTTCAGTAGTCTTTCCCTTCTGCCGGAACTTGATTTCACATTTTGTGGATGAAAACCCTAAAACCAGTTCAGCCTCTTATCATGATGAGAACATGACAAGTGGTGGTTAAAAAATAAATAAAAAGAAAGCCTTGGCTTGAAGCCATTGTTCAGAATTTAAGAGCTATTTGCCCCCAAGTGTCTTAGCCGTCTTTCAGAGCTAATTATAATAACTGTCAGATGTCTGGAGAGTGGATGGTGCCCTCATCAGTAAAGTCAGCAAAGTTTGTCTTTTATTTTTCTTGGGGACAGATCAAATCTGATTAGGCATTAAGAGCGAAAAGAAGTGAAGTAAGTACATATGTGTGTGCCTTCATGTTTTCTTATGAACAAAGCAGCGCGCTGGAGCGATGTTTGAGGTGCAGCCTCCTGCAGCTACTCTTGGAATGCCTGACTTTTATTTTTCATTCTTTCCCTTTCACCGAATCAAGCATGCAACAATTGTTTCTGAAACCTTTTCCTGCCAGCTGAACACCCTTCAAGACACACATATAACAGTAGCTCAGAAAAAAAAAAAAATCTTCACATATCGGAAGCTTATGACAGAAAACTATTTTCATCAACACACTGGACGGAAAGCAATGGATACTTACAATTTCCAAACGGTTATTTGTGCTAGTTCCTTGTCCCCGGGGGCACGGCCGAGGCTCTGGCCAGACTGTCCATCAGGCAGGTGCAGAATCCTGGTTTCCAGGCAGGAGAGAGTTAGCAAAGTGTTTCCCAAAGTCCCTCGGAACTCAGGCACTTGTGCCCAGGCATCCCTGGCTGCTGTGAAGGCTGTACTATCTGCAGTTCTGAATTGAACTAAATTACAGCCCATGTGAAAGACAGGGGCAGTGAGTCATGTGGGAGATACACAGCTATCCTATTGGCCACTGAAACATAGCTTAGGCATTCTGCCTTCTCCTCCATTGGTGAATAGTTAAAAATGAAAGCATCTGGGTCCTCCTCTCCAGCTTATTTGTCCTTTATGTGTGGAAGAATGACTGTAGGATTTTACAGTGACAGAATTAGTTAAGAAAGGGACTGAAGTCATCTTTCACAGAGGCTGGTGGGAGGGGATTGGAAGCCCAGCTTTTTCAAGATTTTTTTTTTTTCCTTTTTATCCCCCTGCCCTGCAGTTTTGTCTGTGATTTGCCTGTTTGCCTGTCAGGAAAGTGTGTGTGTGTCTGTGTGTCTGTGTGTGTGTCTGTGTGTGTGTGTGTGTGTGTGTCTGTGTGTTTCCCCAGTTAACTTTGGAAGTGACAGAAAGTAAATTATCTCATTTCTTTGCAGAACTCAGTCGTGTTTGGAAGCACAAAATCAATTTTTCTTCAATGATGAATTTTCAGAGTTTATTTTGATGTTGAAAGAAGCTGAATTGCAGTTCTCAACAGCCTAAGTTGTTCATTATTGACACCCAGAAACAGAATTAACTTTTTCTGAGTGGCTGTTACAGTTTGGAGAATGTAGGGGGGAAAATGACACTGGAAAATATTAAAAGACAACAATAGCAAAGAAGCTTCAGCTAAGCAGGGATGAAGAAGAAGTATACTTTTTCCAAAACCATTTAATTTACCTCTTTTGATAATGCAACACGACCATAAAATGGACAGGCAGAAGGTGCTTTTCGGTTATCCCAGCATTATTTAATTCACCTGATTCGTAAAAATCTCTGGTGCGTTTGTAAAGATTTAGAGGTGTGAGTTCCCTTAGAGACCGTCACATCCTTAGAGACCATCACATCCCATCTTCCCAGTGTAAAGGTTGTCAAAGGTGAGGAAGGTGGACTCTGGCAGGTAACACCTCGCTATTCATTTACCTGGATCCAGGATTCACAGAGTTATGTAAAGTAAATGAAGGGGACACCAAAGTGAGTAGTACTGCTTTGCTTTTTCTTGCAAACCTACTACGAGCCAGTCACTCTTGTTTAATTGCTACAACGACTCAGGGTCAGTTTTATCACTTTCATTTCTTGGTGGCAAAAACAGACTCAGATGCTTTACTACCATGGTAGTTCTTGATGTGAACCCATATTGGACTGATTTCATGTCAACTTTTTCAACCAGGGATATTGCCTTCCAAAATAATAGTGGTCATCCCTTGTAAATACCTTCCTGTTGTGTGTGCCAGGTAATGAGCCAAGCACTTCACATCACCTTGTTCAATCCTTACAACTATCAACGAGGTAGCTATTCTATTATCTCCATTTCAGAGAAGAGGAAATGAGGCAGACACTCAGTTTCATAAAGTTGGTAATTGGTGGTACTTGATTCGAACCAGCTTTCCTCTAGTTGACACACTATATGGATTTTCATCACAGTGTTGAATAAGTTTGTTTTTTTCCCTTTCTGGTGCAACAGATTTGAATATTTCATGTATATGGAGACTATCCACTGTAGTCGTATAAGTGTGCTTGGTTCAGACCCACATCTTACTGTTAAGTGGCTATAAATCGGCCTTAGAGGGGCAGCTGTGGAGCCGTATTTGCCTTTGCGGCCCCTCAAGAGGCCTTGCACAGAATCCTGCAGCAATAGAAGCTTCCACATTTACTGAAGGAACAAATTCACCCAGCACATCATTCTGAGCCTTAGGTGCCCTACGGCCAGTCCAGAGCTTGAAAACACATCAAAAAGCAGGATAAGGCAAATCCTGGATCCTTTCCAAAATAGCATCAAAATTCCATGTCAGCCCAGGCAATATCAAGAGTCCACGTGGAGTTTCCTGAATGTGTCTCCACTGCAGCCCCAATCACACCAATTAAAGGACATTTCCATTCACACCACCTACCCTTGTGGGGTCTGTTTGGAGACTGGAGATAATTACTCAAGGAATAGGACAGCATCCTCACCTGTGGTGTTGAACGTACACACTGCTGTCGCTCAGAGCACAGGGCGGCTGGGCTCAGTTAAACACAGGTAGATAGGTAGAATTAGAAGATCATTTTTGTCTTCTTCTTTTTTGACCTTTTTTTTTTCTTTCCTTGAGTGGTACTTAGTTTCCCCCAAATTGTCATCACCTCCTGCCATCCAGAGCTCTTCTGGGTCTGCCTTCTCATATAGCACCCATGTGATCATGTTATGTTATCCTATTTTCGCTGTTTCTCTATTGAAAATATTTCAAGGACTGGGCTGTATCTCACTCTTTTTTTCATCCCTCATAATGCCTGTCATAGTAGAGATGAGATAAATATGTGTTGATTTTTTTCCCTTTGTCTTGCAGTGATCAAGTCACAAGTAAGCTATCGGATCTAAAATAAATCGGGTAAGATAATGCTAAGGTGTTAAAAATAACATTTAAAAATAAACTCTATGGGGACTTCCCTGGTGGTCCAGTGGTTACGACTTTGCCTTCCAATGCAGGGGTTGCAGGTTCAATTCCTGGTCGGGGAGCTAAGATTCCCACATGCCTCGTGGCCAAGAAACCAGAACATAAAACAGAAGCAATATTGTAACAAATTCAATAAAGACTTTAAAAATTGTCCACATAAAAAAAATTTTTAAATAAAATAAAATAATGTCAAAGTAAATGAGTCTGACACTGGAGGACAGGAGGGAAATGATTTTGAGAGCACAGACTCTCCCCACTGTTGGTCTAGATTAACCATGGGGCGCGCTCACATTGGCCAAGCTGAGGTTCCCAGTGTTGGCACACACTTACTTAGCTCCTCCTGGCCATCACCTATCAACTTCTCTGTCCTTCTCACCCACTGGGGACCGGGCATCCGGTTCTCTTTATCGCTGGTCCTATTGCTGTCTCTTATCGCTGGTCCTACTGTCCCCCCAGTTTAGTTCAGTGTTCACAGAGCAATATATCCAACTATCTACTATTTTGGTTCACTGACCTCTTCAGTGCTGATGATTCCCACCTCCACTCCCACCGCAGTCACCCCTGCCTTCACCGTAGAGGTTGGGACAGTTTGCTTTTGAAATTGTCAAATGAACCCACATGCTCTGTAACCACCACCTTCAACCTTTCCAACTTGATCACTACGCCTCCCTCTCACCCTTTCTGGTCTCTCCAAACTCTCTGGCTCCTCCATTTTCCCTGTATCTATCATCCATTTCCATTTTTCTTTCCCTTTCCTTTCATACTTCCATCCCTGTGAGAGTCCACATTTTATGAATTCCTACAGCATCTGGTCAATAGCCCCAACTTCCTTGCCCTGTTTTCCTTCTGATGCCTCATCCAGTCCACCAGGTAAAACCCATTTTTGGATTAATCCAATTGATTATCTCCTCTAGACTAATCTGGGCTTCTAAGAACTGCCAAATCAAATTCTAATGTCTGTAAAGGGTATGACTATTATAAACACATCGTGTCCAAAGTTGCCTAGTTCCTGAATAACACCTGTTTGCCCACTCAGCTCCTTTTCTCACTGTCTACAATGCTCTACACCCTCTCTCTCTCTCTCTCTCTCTCTCTCTCTGTCTCTCTCTGTCTCTGTCTCTGTCCCATCCATCTTCCTAGGTTTCATTGCCTTCTCATTCCCAGGGGCACCAGTAAACTTACCGAAGTGAAGATTCGTCCCTTCCTCATTTCTTCCCATTACAATGGAAAAGCTGTTTTCAAATCTGTCCAAGGCAAATCACTCCCCATGTACAAGGATGTTACCTCCCCTGCCTGCTCAGAAACTTTTTCTTATATGTTTCTACCCTCCTCAGATTGTCAACAGCTCCCTGCCTACTCAGTCTTTCTTGCTAGCATTTAAAAGTATTCAGTTCTCTTCAATACTTAAAAATCCCTGCCTTGGGTACCAGGTCCCCCTCCTGTATTCTGTCCTTCCTGGACAAACTTCTGGAAAGATTTAGTGACACACAATTTCAGCTTTCTTTTCTATCATTTCTCTACCTGCCGAAATCTGGTCTGCGTCTTCACTCTGCTGTGCTAAGACCACCAGGACTGTGTGTTGCTAAATCCCATGGCTTTTTGCTACTTGGCTTCTCTAAAACTTCTGTGCAGTCAGTCACTCCCTCTTTCTTGAAGCGGTCTCTCCTTCTGGCCTTATGTGCCCCTGGTTTTCTTTCTATCATTTTATGTCTTCTTGTTCTCTTCGGTAAACTGTGTTTCCTCTTCTTGTTTGTAGTGTGTTTGTATTTTTCAGCCTTTCAGAGGCTCTATTATCTTCTCACTAATTCACCTCCATGGCTTTGATGATGACTCTGTACAGGTGATTCCCATCCTTCTAACTGCAGCCCAGACCTCTCTCCTGAGGAACTGTAGATCCACCACACCTTTCCCCTTGAACCTCTCATAGAACCTCGCACTCAATATTTTCATCATCTCTTCTGATCTGTGTAACCTTCATTACTTTCATCTCCATGAATAAAACCACCAGGGACCAAAGACAGAAAACTAGGGCCAAATATTTAAATCTTCCTTTTCTTTTCCTAGGCTCATATCCAACTCATCAGCATACCCAGAGACCTCTTGACTCTGTCCACTTCACTCCATCTATTTCCTGGTGAGTATGCTTCAATATTAGTAATACTTCAGATCAGAGATTCCCCTCTGCTTCAGCCTGGGTCATCCCCACTCCATGTCCCCTCCTGTAACAAGCTTTTCTCAAATCTTCCATCTTTTAAAGAGAACACTTCAGTGGCCCTTATTTTCCTTAAGGCAAAACCTGAAGTCCTCAGAGGAGCCTGTTTTTTAATCTCCTATTTTATCTAGAAAAAATTCATGGACATATTTAATTCTACCTCATAGTTTACAAATGCTACTATATATGACATACATTAAAATTAAAGCACATAAAATTTAAAATAAATTTTAAAATGAAATATATAAATTGTACG